ACACCGCTACTTCGAACTTACAAGTATGGCTCAACACTGACATGTATCGCAGAACAGACATGTCAGGGGGTAGGGGGGTGGAATTTAAAAAAACCCAAACATGCTTTGTTTCCCAGAACCAAATACTCAAAACTTTGTCCACCATGACAGAAAGTAAAACATATGTAAGGATTTTCATTAAAACATAGCAGACAGTATAAATAAGGCTTAGAAGCTTGATATTTGCTACTCTTTCAAGGACAGGAAAATTAATCTGTATCGGCTGAAACTTCCATGTCACGATGGACATTTTCAGGTAAGCAGAGATAAATTTTCCTATCCTACATCACGTCACTCTCCACAAATACCTTACAGTAGAATGGGAGGCCTGCAGAAGTCTTCTGTCAAAGGGAAAAAAACAACAAAACAAAGAGTCATGAACTAAAAACAAACATACAGGACCGGTGAATATACAGCACATCAGAAAGTACCAACGTAGGAGAGTGGACAACTCTACCCTAAGGTTAACAGTTTTTATAAGAAAGACTTATTACGAAGAAAAGATTTCATTCATTTAGGAAGTGAATGTCAATGCATGGCAAAAAGTAACAGATGTAGTCCCACTGTCACACCCTCTCACATAGGTCTATTCCCTAAGCTAATACTTAATGTTCGCGACGCACATGACCTTTCTTGAACACATCCAGATTACCATCTGACATTTCGCTTAGACACTTTCATATACCCACTCAAACTACCCTTAGGGAAACTCAAGGCTATTTTTTCACTAATTTAGCAGATGCTGGACCACCAGCTTTTAACAGGATGTGTCTCCGTTATTGACTTCTCCTTCGGTGCCCTGGAGAGAGGATTATCTAGCAGTAGCAGAGCTCTGGAAAAAAAATAATGCATCCAGAGGTCTAGGTTCATCAAATCTCAGAGCAATAACCTCCTTCAGCAAGCAGTGTCCATAGTTTCCAGTCTTTGTAATAAATCAGAGAAAAAGACAGACACATAGCATGACTTTACAATTTTGTGAAACTCCACATTACATACCAAGTGCTGACGAACAACAAGATCATTGACTATTTTCCACTGTCTTTGTCATACAGTTTTGTTTTCAAGAGCAGCTCACCAATCTATACTTTAAAGGTGTTAGTTGTTGTTTTAACTAGAAAATCTCAAGTCTATCAGGTTGATTTAATGCTCTTCTCTGCCTTGGTGGCACGACACACAAGAACAGGCCATAGCAATTGCTCGGAGTCAAGGTTAGTAAATTCTTCCTGAGCATAGGCATACTCTTAATACACTTACCACTGCAACTGGAAGTGGTCTCTTCACCTAGGATCAGCACTTTGACACTTAAAATGGGCTACATGTAATCTGAACAGGAGCGAAGACTCCACAGTTGGATCAAAAAAGTCTAAATTTCCAAGAGGCTTCAGTAAAAACTGCATTTCTTCTGTTCTGGAGCATTTTTTTGTTATGGTCATCCAATCCTTCAGAAGAAGGAAGGCAGTTTGACAGTCGGTCCTGGTTTGAGGGTATGTACCAAACTCAGCTTCCCTAATAAGACTGCCTGCATTTGTTCCAAGCTTAAGATGCTCAATAAACTATTTAACCCAAACCAAAGAGAAACTGAATCCCAACAAATACCTGTGAAGAAGCCAAAGGAATTTTCTTCTCTTTCCCCCTTGAGTTAATTAGGTAGCTCTCAAAAAAATCAAGCAGAATGAAATGACTAAAGGTAGGACACTTTGTCCTCAAGACTTGCAGATCTACAGTAACAGCTGACCAAAGATGTTGCAATGAGGGTGCTTTGGTAAGGTTTCACCAGCAACATGCTAGAAAGCCTCAGTCTTTACACTGCCAAGCAAAGTCTGAATGAGAGGCAGTAACATCTGTATTATTTTCTCCAGTGATTGAACAAAATGAACTTCACTTTAAGTGAAGTTTTTCCTTTCAGTTTTAACGGACTCTGTTTTCCCATTAGATTTCTCTCTACTTTATGAAGACAGCCACGAACTCATTCTGCTCAAATTTCTGATACCAAAGACTCAATACACCTATGTGGTAAAAAAAAAAAAGAAAAAAGAAATTCCCATTCTCCTTCCCTCACTGTGAAGGAAAGTACAGTCTAGTGATTTTTTGGCTGAGAAACATACTTGCAAGGTTTGTGTCAAATGAGAGCACATATTTATTTCATTTTTTGTTGACCTAATGCTGTTGGAAAGCTTTTTAATGGCTAAGATGATGCCTGAGTAGACCTAGTTACTTCTGAACAAAATATATAACAAGAAAGATTCTTTGAAAAAGTGGCTCCTAGGAAAAGCAATCAGATTTCTCTCCAGCGAGACAAAATTAAACTTTGTCTGCAATCTGCTGAGATTTCTTGCATTGTAAAATTGAGATTGGTGTAGAAAGTGAATAAAACACGACGTGCGATTCAAGAACAAAAAATAAATGCCCTGTCCCAAGAAACTTATAGCTGTGTTAAAAGCCAAAAGAAGGGAAAGTTTCAGATAGATCAACACGGAGAACATAAGGAAACTTGGAGAATAATATGACTACACCTTTGCTGAAATTGCAACTTCTGCAACAACTATAATCATGATATCACAATATATCATACAATATAATACATAATATATTAATATCTAATAATATAATCAACAATATAGAGTAATATAGTAATATATAACATATTATATATGCTTTATATTTATAAATAATAGCATGATATCACAATTATAATCATGACATGCGATTATAAAACATCCCATCCGCTCTTATCCAAGCAAGTGCCCTGTAAATAATCTGTAGGCTACCTACAAGAAAACCTCTCCTGCCTGCTAACATGTCAGGGATGCTTCAGCACACCAGGTTCAACATAAGCTGGAAAGTGCAACCCTGGCCACAGCTGCAAGTTCGTAAATACAAAAGGTAGGGAAGACTGATCATGAGAATAATTTTGGAACCATTCACATCAAGGTGATAAGGAGAGTTCACAGCAGTCTAATTACCATGGGGGAATATGCAGTAGACTTTCATTTCTACTTTGAGAGTTCAAATCTGAAATATCAGAGAGAGCAGACAGGACTCCAAGAACGCTCAGGGCATTTAAAATAGCAAAGGTACTTGAAATAACTGCCCTGTCCACATGAGCTTTTTATGGGTTCCTCAAAAATGACTGTGTCTCTTGAGCCCAGAATTCATTCTTCTATGACAGTCATCTGGACAAGAAAAAGCTGTTTCCCTGAAGATGTCAAAAGAAGTTATAAGTAAGGATGCAAATGGCTACAACTTAAGTTGTGTGTTACACATAGGTGAGATACTGCCCTGAAGGTCCCTTATCACGCTCTAATGTGTTGATGGTATCAGTAGTGTTTTGGGTGCCTTCATGTGAGATTCACAGGGAACAAAAGGTAGAGTGAAGGAACCATCTGAACGCTGCTCTCTACAAGCAAGAGACTCACGATATTGTACATTCAGTTCACTGCCTTTCTAGTCTCACCCCCTGTATCAGAAGGGGGGACTTTTTTTTTTTCCATCAAACATTTTGATCCCTATCCTGGCTGCCAGCAAACAAATCTGCAACATCCCCGCCTGGATTAGCATAATATTGCCTAAATACAACGAACTTCCTAATGGAAGGAGAGGGAGCCTTTTACTTTGTCCATCTTCCTCAGTCTGCTCCGGTGGTTGCAGTAGCTTCTGCCTCTGCAGGCTTCAAGACCTTCAGAAAGACAAAGGAACCTTGCGTGCAACAGAC